ACAGATAGAGTCAAACACAGAGGGAAAGAGAAAGACTGAGGGAGAAAGAAAATCAGAGAGAGAAAAACAGACAGACAGGGAAGGACAAACAGAAAGAGATGGAAAGACAGAAACTGAGAGAGAAAGACAGACAGGGAAAGACAAACAGAAAGAGATAGAAAGACAGAAACTGGGAGAGAAAGACGGACAGTGAGAGAGACAGGGCGAGAGCGCATGGCATTCCAGCCCACCGGACGAAGGTGTTGATTTTCGGGCAAGTGTGAATGAAGACTTTATTGACTCGAGGTAAGCGGTCGATATGGGAAAGTCAACATCAAATTTTCTCGTCGCGTTACTGTGACCCCTTCTTTATTACCTGTTTCTTGTTCCCGTCACGCTGTCACCTTATAAATATATATAACCATTTCGTCGCCCTTTTTCACATATGTATTTTTCGTTTTTTTCTAATTTTCTTCATTTGTTTTCGACATTTTATTACCTCTCTTCCTTCTCTATCTAATAAATGTTCATGAATGAATCCAGTTAATAGATTCTAGAATGCATTGTATTCTTAACTATACCCGTGAAATATCGTGATAATGAATATAATGATAACCACAGCAATGATAAAGTAATTAGAGAATGATAGAATAAGCGACAAGAAAAAAAAAATACTCGATGCTCTTTTGTCTTAATATATTTGCGAAGCCATTCAAATTCTCCCTCCAAAATTCAGATTATTCATAGGATAGTCTTAATGATTTAATAAAGGATATACATCCATTGTTTTGAATTGTTACCCTCAAATCATTCGTAGATTTAATAGATATCTATACGAAAATATCTATTAATCTGTTCGTTTAAATCTACTAGTTTATCTATCCACACTCACACAATACACATGTATCTATACTCACATATAGGTGCATGTGAATGTATCTCTGTTACTGTCACATTTAAAATACGGTAGAAGTGACATGGGTAATAAGACATAAGTGCAGACAGTTCTCTGTACCTGTTGATTAGCACGTATTTTTTTCTTCTTTTTTTACTTAAAGTATTCGATTCTGACTACTACAGCATTAGTTAACTTGGCTGTGATACTATTTGTTTCAAAATCCTTAGAAAATGTCTATAGAAATGCTAAGAATTCAGAGTGGAGGAGCTATCCCTAGTTAAGATAATTGTCATAATCATTTTTATTGTTGTTACTCCTACTATTGCTAACATTACTTTTATTATCATGATGATAATAATGATGATAATGGTAATGATAATGATAATAATGATGACGATAATAATAATGATGATGATAATAATCATAATAAAAATAATGCTAACAATGACAATGGTAATAATAGTAATAATGGAAATATTAATCATCATTATCATCATTGTTGTTTTTTTATTATGAGGTCTATTTTCATTATTAATATCATTACTACCATTATCGTTAATATCATTATATTATTTTTTAAATTATCATTATCATTATTATTAGTAGTAGTACTACACTAATGATTAATATTATTGTTGTTGCTATCATTATTATCATTTATGATTATCAATGTTATTATTGTTATTTATATTACTGATATCATTATTATCATTATCATTATTATTGTCATAATTATTGTTTTTCGTACTATGAACACTATTTTTCCTTATTGCTATCATTATTAGCATGATCGTGTTTATTATTATTATCATCTTTATCTGTTTTTTTTTACTAAAACACTTTTTCTTTCTCTCTCTCTCTCTTTGATTCCCATTCCTTCTGTTTGTCTTTCTCTTTCTCCCTCTTACCCCTTTCTTTTCCTACCCCCCCCCCCCCTGGATCAAGAAGCCCAACTACAGGTCTTGTTTTCTCCCCGCAGCCCCCCGCCCAACCGGCCGCAGGTCGCGCAAGCCCGGCGTTGACCGAAAACCTCGCCAGGCCTACAGTGCTAAGCAGCTGGAGCGGCTAGAGGCAGAGTTCAAGGTTCGTGGATTTCTGAATACAGTTAAGCATATATTTCTTATTTGTTGTATGAAAGATGATTTGTTTCTGTTTTCAATGTGTTTTAGAGGTAGTGAAGAAGGGAAGACAATTTTTAAAGTTATTTGAGATTTATAATCATTCCTTGTATATGATTCGTGGTTATCTGGATACGTTTTAGAACTAGCAAGGTCTATATAAGTACTTATATAGACCTTGAGAACTAGGTCCAGCTTTATAGCCACGCATAAATCAAATTCCATATTTGCATTATGTTTTTTTTTTTTTTTTTTTTTTTTTTGTGAAGTTTCTCGTTATAGGAAAGATGATATATATCTAGCCTAGATTTAATCATGATCTGTAATGAGAATCTGTAAATCATATCCTTACTAAGATTGAATGTTGATTAAAAAATATTTTTTTTTTTTCTTGGAACATTATTAGTAATAACATTATCACTGTGTGCCATGTGCCATTCTATTTGTAATATTTACCTCACATTAGAGTTTTTATATTGTCCGTTTATTATCATAGAATCATGGATTACACACATTTGGAGAGAGTAGCACACACATTTACATCAGGGTGGGCCTGGATAGAGTAAAGAATAGATAGATAGGTAGATTGAGAGAGAGAGAGAGAGAGAGAGAGAGAGAGAGAGAGAGAGAGAGAGAGAGAGAGAGAGAGAGAGAGAGAGAGAGAGAGAGAGAGAGAGAAGAGAGAGAGAGAGAGAGAGAGAGAGAGAGAGAGAGAGAGAGAGAGAGAGAGAGAGAGAAGAGAGAGACAGAGAGGAGAGAGAGAGAGAGAGAAAGAGAGACAGCTAGTTAGATAGATATATAGATAGATATATAGATAGATAGATAGAGAGTAGGATAGAGAGAGAGAGAGATAGAGAGATGAGAGAGAGAGAGAGAGACGGAGAGAGAGAGAGAGAGAGAGAGAGAGGGAGAGGGGAGAGAGAGAGAGAGAGAGAGAGAGGAGAGCCGAGAGAGAGAGAGAGAGAGAGAGAGAGAGAGAGAGAGAGAGAGAGAGAGAGAGAGAGTAGAGAGCAGAGAGAGAGAGAGAGAGAGAGACAGAGAGAGAGAGAGGAGAGAGAGAGAGAGAGAGAGAGAGAGAGAGAGAGAGAGAAGAGAGAGAGAGAGAGAAGAGAGAGAGATAAGAGAATAGATAGATAGATAGAGAGGATAGAAGAGAGAGAGAGAGAGAGAGAGAGGAGAGAGAGAGAGAGAGAGAGAGAGAGAGAGAGAGAGAGAGAGAGAGAGAGATGGTGAGTGAGAGAGCCCTTACACACTAACACTTCCGAATCACGACAGGAAACACACATGAAGTATATGAGACCCGTGACATAACACATGCACAGTATATACAGATAAAAACCACGGCATAGAGTGAAAGAACGAAATGACGAAAAAGATGATGGTAATAGAAAATAATGATAATGAAATAAAACGGTCAATGATGATTATGATAATACAAAACAATACAAAATGTAATAAAATAGAATAAGAAAAAAATAGTTATGATAGAATAGAAGAATAAATAATGATGATAAAATAAAACAATAACGTAATGATGATAAAGTAAAACAATAAAGAATGATGATAATAAATGAAAACAATAAAAAGTAATCAAAATCAAATAAGACGTAAGTAAACGTACTAATAGCAAAATGAAAGGCATCCAGCCCCCGGGCACTAACCGCTCGCCCGCCTCCTTCCTCAGGTGGACAAGTACCTGAGTGTGTCGAAGCGCCTCGAGCTGTCGCAGGCGCTCAACCTGACGGAGACGCAGATCAAGACGTGGTTCCAGAATCGGAGGACCAAGTGGAAGAAGCAGATGGCCGCCCGCATGAGGCTGGCCCAACGGCAAGGTCTTCTGCCGCCCCACCTCTATCCGGCTCTCCCGCCCATCCCGCCCATTCTCGGTCCCTACTACCCGCTCACGCCGCACACTCACGCCCATATCGTGCCCCCGCCTCCCCTTCTTACGCCGATGTCCCCGCCGGACCCGCCCTTCTCGTCAGCCCACGATCCGCCCACGGCTTGAATAGCTAGCGTTAGTATTTATCTCTCACCGCCCATCCCGAACCCCCCTCCCCCCACTCCTCACCAACCCCCTCCTCTTTTAAGATTTATGATCGATTCCTCCTTCCAATTTTATAAGACTGGAAGTTAAACAAACTAGAAAAAATATCATTTAATAAACTAAGAAATTTTTCCCAGCGGGATTCCCTTTGCTTTGTTTTTACTTTCTGATTGGGAAAAGATCGTTAAAAATAAATTCGGAAAACAAAGCTTCAAGTTATTTTCCCTACACATTAATTTAAACAATTACACATTCATCACATTTTTTTGCATTCTAATGTTGCATATTAAAATATCTCCTTGTCAGTAGCTACTCTTTTGTACTTACTGTGACAGAGAAAATGAGATTAATCGATGCAATGCATCATCACATTTTAAGCCTACACTAAACTTAGCGCAGCAATATCAGTTGCTTCACATCTCTATGGTAATGTCTGCCAGATTGTTGTTTGAATACTTTCTTCATGTGTTCTAAAGACTGTAATGTTTGTGTTATTAAAATATCCTTAAATGGAATGCCCGTTTTTTATTATGATATCCTAATTGAACCATGTCCTTTTTTGTCTGGAATATTTAAGTAAAGGTAGCCGTTTTGCCATTTGATGGTATTGTTTTCACTATCTCTCTTTCGTATTTTGTTATGCAATCCTAATAAAACCTTGACCATTTTTTTCCATTTGATGGTATTATCTCCATTCTCTTTTGCTGCAATAATTGGATTTGAATTCAAAATATAATTCACTGCTAAGAGATAAATCTTCCATGATATATTTTGTATACATTTCCAGTTTAACCTAAAGTCATTCTCTCAGGCTCATATTTACTCTCAATGCTATTCCTCTGCACTTCTTTCCATAACTGATATTAAAACAATGCATTGAGGAGAAAACAAAAATAACATTCTCCCTCAAACAGATTAGTTATCTTTTCATATTCAAAAATGTATCACAAAGAAAAAAACAACTCTTCCCTGAAACATATTAAAGTTGTCTTTTCAGCTGCTCCCGCTGACACATTTCTCACAGAGAGAAGACACGAATTCTCCCTCGCTCCCCTCTCATGTTAAGGTCCTTTCCTCCCGACTCTTTGCTTACCTTTAAACCTCATTAACATCTTTAATTGGAGAGGGAAGCTGATGGGATAAGGGAATTGCTTGATCCATTTAATGAATCTTAATTCTATTACAAACAATGTAATTGGATTGCATGCCCTATTATCTACACAATGTGAAGGGGAGAACTTACTGTGCTTGTCTTGTCATTATACCAAAATCTGTAACTAAGTGAAAACCCAGGCACCTTCCTTTATTTTTATCAGTTTCAGTGTATCAAAGTCTGTATCAGTGTATAAACTACACTTGAGCATATTGATTTATAATTAATTGTTGGACAATTTGATCAAAACCTTTCCATAGTGCTACTTATTGGGTAAATATATTTCTCTACTGATAGTTCCCTTTGGGTACTTCATTTCTAAAATATCATGATTTGATGTATTCTTTTACATATAAAAAGAAGAAAAGTTTTTGTAAGGTGAAGGTAATGTTAATTACTAATAACAATCATCACTTTCTGTTTTCAACACTAGACTCTGCTTTATAAACAAATTGAAAAGATATTACTCAACCAATTCAAAAGCTGATGAATTGTAAACCCATTGACACCAATATGCACTGTGCATACATACTGTGACTTTAATCTATTAATTTACATATGGATGGCTCCACAAATGCTTTATTAAAAAGGACTTAACTGATCTCACTGGTTAAAACTTTTCCTTGATTTTAATAACATTAAAAAAGACATAATATTAATAATAATAGAATTTTAATAATAATAATAATAATAAAAAAATCATGATAACAATAATGATAATATAAGAATATAAATAATAATAATAATCTCTTCAAAGACTCAGTGCTAAAGTAGCCATCTATGTGAAGACAAAATTAAACAAAATTACACTGGGCTAAATGAATCTCTTAGAGGTTATCCATATACTGTATAATACTGTTAGTCCTGTTTATATAAATCATACAGAGAAAAAGGCACATTTATACATACACATTCAGTGCAGGATGTAGGCACATATTTTTTCTTTAATTATTAGTTTTAGGCGTGGTCCATAAAACAGTACAGTCTAAATTCATGACATTCACAAATTATCAAAGGTAGAAAAGAAACATTGCCAATACTCTCTTTTTTTTAATATCAAATAATCAAAGTTAAACATACAAAGACTTTCCTGCATGTAGCTAAAAGTTTTTCTAACTAGGAAGTGAAAACTATCTTTTTTACATTTCTAAAATCTCATACTATTAAGACAGTTTTAGAAAAGAGTTGTTTGTCATTCTAGACAAAAATCAGGATTTACAAATATAAATATAAATATTCAATATGGGGACAAAATCCTTTCCAAAATTGTACTGTAGATTCTCATTCTGCATAAAAATTGAGGGTATTGAAAACAATAGAAAAAAATAGTAAGATAATAATGACAATTATACAAAATACACATTACTATCAAGATTTCCTAACTGGTATTAGGACTGCTAATAAAACAAAAAAATTAAAAGAAAGAAAGAGAAAAAAACTTTCTACAGGGAATTACCTCCACACACTCGACAGAAATACAATTACACGTAAAAGGACATTATATAATATCAATTCATCCAATACAATATGCAATATCCAATAATACGAACTATTACAGCTTTAATACTTTCTTCTCTTTAAGATTTCCGGTCTCCAGTTAATGGGGTGACTTTCCTCGCTCTGGAATATAAAAGAGAGAAAAAAATTACTCATTATTACTTTGGGCACTAATAGGGTGTTACACAAAGCTCATCCCCTCTGGAGCATCTAATGATATACCGACCCCCAGCAGGAAAATTAACGGCAAGAGGGTCATAAATGAAGTCGTGGTGGGGCCCACTGCAGCTGGCCACCTCTAATGACAGCATAATCAATCTATCCCTATCAATTACTGGCCAGACTAATGGCTCACTTATAACTTTCTTCTTTTTTTTTCTTCTTCATTTTGTATTTCCCTTTATTCTATTTATTTATTTATTTCAAGTAATGTTGTCCTCAATATTTCCCTTTCTCTTTAAATAACTGTAATTCTTTATCTCACACACACACACACACACACACACACACACACACACACACACACACACACACACACACACACACACACAAACAAACACACACACACACACACACACACAAATACACACACACACACAAACACACACACACACACACACACACACACACACACACACACACACACACACACACACACACACACACAGAAGTGCAAATGCAGCTAGTCTTACCGCAGTGTCATCTTCTTTATAAATCTTGATGGTCTTGTCTGCATCACAAGTGATAAGGCGAGAACCGCTCTGGTCGAATGTCATGGCAAACACCCCAGCCTCACTGTCCATAGAAC